CAAGACCCCGGGATCACAACTTGAGCTAAAGGCAGATGCTCAACCACTGAGCCAACCAGGTGCCCATGCTCACTCTGAATCTATTCATGAGTCCAGAGTGTGGGGCATCTTGTGCAGGACAACTGAGCTAGAAGTTTTCAAAACTCCAAAGTTATACAAATCCAAAAAAAGGCAAAGCTGCCCTAGATTTAAAAAGATTAAAGATTAAAGAGATGACTATAAAATGTACTGTGTGGGCCATGACTAAATCCTGGGTTGGATGGGAAAAAAATCTATAAAGACATTTTGACATTGTTGGAGAGATCTGAAAAAAAAAAGTTTCTTAGATGACATTGTGAAATTATTAAGAATTTTCTTATGATGTGTATAGTGTATGATGGCCTTTTTGGACTGTATGGGAGAAGGTCCTTATTCTTAGAAGACATACACTTAAGTTTTTAAGGTAAAGTGTCATGACATCTGCAGATTACTTTCAAATGATTCAGTGGGAAAAAAATCTGTGTATGGATGGAGACGGAGACACAGATAGAGGTGTGAAGTGTTTTGGACTACATGTAGTGTGTGCACACCCCCAGGACATATGGTGAAGCCCTATGAAATACCATGAAGATGGTATTTGGAGGTGGGGCCTTTGGGAGTTAATTTGGTTTGTATAAGTTCATGGGGCAAGAACCCCCCAGGATGGGATTAGTGTCCTTTATAAAAATTTTTTTATTTATTTGAGAGGGAGAGAGAGAGAGAGAGAGAGAGAGAGAGAGAGAGAGAGAGAGAGAAAACACAGGAGGGAGGGGCAGAAGGAGAAAGAGAGACAGATGCAGACACCCCTGAGGGGGCAGCCAGATGAACACAGGGCTTGATCCCAGGACCCTGAGATTATGACCTGAGCAGAAATCAAGAGTCAGATGCTCAACTGACTGAGCCACCCAGGCGCCCCCTAGGGATTGGTGTCCTTATAAGGAGAGAAAGAGGGCAGCCCCGGTGGCGCAGCGGTTTAGCGCCACCTTCAGCCTGGGATGGGGTCCTGGAGGCCCTGAATCAAGGCCCACGTCCGGCTCCCTGCGTGGAGCCTGCTTCTCTCTCTGTCTCTCTCTCTCTGTCTCTCTCTCTCTCTCTCTCTCTCTCTGTGTCTCATGCATAAATAAATAAAATCCTTTAAAAAAAAGAAAAAGGGAGAGAAAGAGACACCAGGGCTTTCTCTCTCTCTCTCTCTCTCTCTCTCTCTCTCTCTCTGCCATATGAGTACAGGGCATGAAGGCAGCTTCTGCAAGCCAGGAAGCAGGACCTCACTGGGAAGCGAATCTGCCAACACCTTGATTTTGGACTTCCCAGCCTCCAGAACGGTGAGAAAATAAATGTCTGTTGTCTAAGCCCCTCATCCGGTGGCATTTTGCTAGAGCAGCAGACATAATCATAGACATAAACATGCAGATCCAAGATCTCTGAAGGGCACAGACAGGGCACAATGTGAACAAGTGGTGAATCTAGTAAGGGCACCTGGGTGTTCATTGTACAGTTTTTTTCTATTTTTCTGTAGGTTTGACAATTTTCCAGATTAAGATGTTGGGGAGAACTAAAAAAAAAAAAAAAAAAAAAAATTGAGTTTGTAAAGAAAATGTGCCAAAATTTAAGTAAGTGCTGATGATTTCTAGCAGGTAGGTTTTTTTTTTTAAAGTATACTTTATTATTTTTTTTATTTATTTATGATAGTCACAGAGAGAGAGAGAGAGAGGCTCAGAGACATAGGCAGAGGGAGAAGCAGGCTCCATGCACCGGGAGCCCGATGTGGGATTCGATCCTGGGTCTCCAGGATCGTGCCCTGGGCCAAAGGCAGGCGCCAAACCGCTGCGCCACCCAGGGATCCCCCTAGCAGGTAGGTTTTATGGTGCTCTTGGTTTTTAAATTTTCTCCTATGAATACTGAGGACTTGCTTAGTTAAATGAATGAGGAAAATCCAAAATGTACATGTGATCAGATCCAGCCATTGTCATTTCCAGGAATTATTCTGGAATAATTATTCTGGAAGTAACAATGGGACACACAAAGATTAGCCCAGGGTCCCTGAGGCCTAGCATGGCTCTCTGAGGGGCTCCTTGCCTGCTAATTGCTGGGGTAGTGCCCTCCAGGGCAAGGAGAGGCTGTGCCACTGTGTGGTGTGTGACATGTCCCTCTTCTATGTTTAAAGCTCAAGACCCAGGGCAGCCTGGCTGGCTCAGTCGGTGGAGCATGTAACTCTTGATCTTGGGGTTCTAAGTTCAAGCCCCACATTGGGTATGGGAGATTACTTAAAACATTAAAAAATTTTTTTAAAGGGATCCCTGGGTGGCGCAGCGGTTTGGCGCCTGCCTTTGGCCCAGGGCGCGATCCTGGAGACCCGGGATCGAATCCCACATCGGGCTCCCGGTGCATGGAGCCTGCTTCTCCCTCTGCCTGTGTCTCTGCCTCTCTCTCTCTCTCACTGTGTGCCTATCATAAATAAAAAAATAAAAAAAATTTTAAAAAAAAGAAAGGGAAAGCTAGTACTAGCCATTAGAGAAAAGGAACTTTTTATTTTATTAAAAGCAAAAATCGGGACACCTCAGTGGTTGAGCATCTGCCTTCAGCTCAGGTCATAATTCTATGGTCCTGGGATTGTGTCCCGCATCAGGCTCCCCACAGGGAGTCTGCTTCTTCCCTCTGCCTGTGTCTCTGCCTCTTTCTCTGTGTCTCTCGTGAATAAATAAATAAAATCTTAAAAAAAAAAAAGATTAGGACTAAACCTGCCTGAATTTCTGGCTCAATCACAGAGCCAGGAATTCCATCCCTCTTGCCCACCTGGTGGGCCTGAGCCAATTCCTGGTTGGCAGCCCTATTTGAAGGGCGGGTGGAAAGCGTTCTCCCGTGGAAGCTCCAGGATCCCTCCTACGCCTTACCTTCTGTGTATCTTTTATAATAAAACCACAACTGTAGGCATAATGTTTTCAGGGCATTCTGTGAGTTGTTATAGCAAACTTTTGGACCTGAGGGGGTTGGTGGAAGCTCTCGAATTTGTAGCTGGTTGATCAGAAGTGCAGGTGGCTTGGGAACCCCTGCTCATGGTTGCTGCCTGGGGTGAGAAAAGTCTTTGGGACAGAGCCTTCACCCTGTGGAGTCTGCACTGACGCTGGGGGATTATTGCCAGAATTGCATGGCAGTACACCATACCTGTCGGCCAGCTGGGGGTGAACCAGAGCAGTACCTGGACTCATTTCTCACCACCAAATTATCTTTTCTTCTTAAATGGACAAAATGTACATAACATACAAGCAATCATTTTAGCCATTTTAAGTATTTAATTCAGTGGCATTAAGTACACCTACAGAGTTGTGTAACCATCACCACCCTCTTTGTCTAGAACTTTTTCATCATGCCAAACAGAAACCCAGTACCTCTTAAACAACCAAGTTAGTTTTTCCCCCTTTTTTTGCTACAAGTAGGGCCCCTCATTCCTCTCTTCAGAAAGTAATTACGGAATATTGGGAGAATGAATTGCTGCTAGCCCTAGACTGTTTGAGGGGGAGGTACAAGATGTTCTTTTGGACCAAAGTGAGAGGAGAGAGGAAGGGAGTCTTTACAAGGTATTTAGAGAACAGGTTACTTCTGTGGGCATCTGCTGCTTAATCTTGCAAGAGACAGTGTGTGTGTAAGGCACCTGAGAGTTAGCCCTCTGCCTCTCTGACTTGCCCATGAGTCTTGAGCTTTATTTTGATTTTTTTAATTAAAAAAAAAAGTTTTGGGACACCTGGGTTGTTTAGCAGTTGAGCGTCTGCTTTTGGCTCAGGGTATGATCCTGGAGTCCTGTGTCAGGCTCTCTGCATGGAGCCAGCTTCTCCTCCCTCTTCCTATGTCTCTGCCTCTCTGTGTGTCTCTCATGAATAAATAACTAAAATCTTAAAATTTTTTTTAAATTTTTATTTACTTAGGATAGTCACAGAGAGAGAGAGAGAGGCAGAGACACAGGCAGAGGGAGAAGCAGGCTCCATGCACCAGGAGCCCGATACGGGACTCGATCGCAGGTCTCCAGGATCACGCCCTGGGCCAAAGGCAGGCGCCAAACCGCTGCGCCACCCAGGGATCCCTAGGTTTCCCTTTCTGTTAGAAGGTTCCAGAGCTAAGCAACACTCTCCTAGCCACTGGTCACAGGTGTCTATTGAGCACTTGAAATGTCACTAGCCAAAAAGTGGCTTCTTTGTAGGTGAAATAGAAACAGAAATAGATCTGAAGACTTGGTATGAAAAAAAAGGTAGGGTTTCTCAGTACTAATGTTTATACTGGTTACATGTTGAAATGATAATATTTTGGACATATGAGGCAAAGCAAAATATATCCTTAAAATTGATTTTACTGGGGCAGCCCAGGTGGTTCAGCGGTTTAGCGCCACCTTCAGCCCAGGGCCTTACCCTGGAGACCTGGGATCAAGTCCCATGTGGGACTCCCTGCGTGGAGCCTGCTTCTCCCTCTGCCTGTGTCTCTGCCTCTCTCTCTCTCTCTCTCTCTCTGTCTCTCTGTCTCTCGTGAATAAATAAAATCTTTTAAAAATAAATTAATTAAATTAATTTTACTGGTTTCTTTTTGTGTTTTGAATGTGGCTGCTAAAATATTTTGTTTTTAAAGATTTTATTTATTTATTCATGAGAGTCACAGAGAGAGAGGCAGAGACACAGGTAGAAGGAGAAGCAGGCTCCCTGTGGGGACCCTGATGCAGGACTCCATCCCAGGACCCCAGGATCACGACCTGAGCCAAAGGCAGACCCTCAACCACTGAGCCACCCCCCAAGTTTAGTCATAATCTTATGTGAGGTCTTCCCAATCAGCCCCACCCAAAGTCGCTTTAGGAGCATAACAAAAATACAGTTATCACTTAGGAATTTAACAAAGGCTTCCAAAGCTATATGGAACTGGTAAAACCAGTCAACAGATATGTTCTTTATTACCCTCCAATTACAAAGGGAGGTGATTAGTAACCTTCTCCCCACACACAAGCTGTGGCTGCCATGATAGGCACCAACAAGGGGCAGCCAGGTGCAGGCCAGTGCCCAGGAGCAGCGCTGGCTGGGAGTCCAGACTCCTCATCTTAGGTAAGGGCCTCCCACCACCTGTTCCCTCTCTCCAGAGGCTCCTCCACCTTCATATCTCTCTCCCTTGCAGCTCTCTTCCTCCTGCTGCTTCCATTTCTGCACAGAAGCCTCCATCCCTCCAAAGGTGAGCATGCATGGTGTGGGGGGCCGGGAGGTCTGAACCCCCTGAGGTGGCCGAGCAGCAGTGAGAGGCAGAGGACAGAAGGGCTTTCTGGGGACGTCTGAGAGGCAAATATGAAATAGCAGCCAGTTCAATTGAGACACCAAGTGATAAACTGAACCTCAATCTCTGGAGGAGCTGGGAGCCCTGGCCAGGGGTTCAAGGGCTCCAGCCCCTTAAGAATCACAGGCTGTGATTCCTCTGAAGGGGAAACTGCAGAGCTGGCTTTGCGGGGTGGGGGTTGGGGGATGGGTGGGTGGGTGGGTGGGGCCCTTCCCCCCATGACCTGAGGTAAGTCAGGGAAACAGCAGGAGACAGGGTCACAAACTGGGATTATGCAAACCTCAAACCCAAACCATAAAAGCAGAGGGGCCGGTACTAGGACAGAGCTGCCATTGGGGACCCCATCCTCGGCCCACAGGGGCCTGGACAGGGAAGGCAGGCGGTGCTGGGTGGGGCCCAGAAGGGAAGGGCTAGAGGGTTGCCTGCAGTCAGGGAGCATCTCTGCTCTGCTCAAGTGCCAGCCTCAGGGTTGCAGTTCTGACCTACCTCCTGCCACTCCCTGCTTCAGGTTCTGGGGGAGCCCCTATGAAGACACCCCTCAAGCTGAGTGTGGGTGCTGCAGCTAGGGAGTACTTCTTGGGTGGGAGCAGAAATGGGACATCTGGGTCGCCTGGGTGGCTCAACGGTTAAGTGTCTGACATAAGTGCCTATGTCTCTGCCTCTCTGTGTGTCTCTGATGAATAAATAAATAAAATTAAAAAAAAAAAAAGAAATGGGACATCTGCTGGGCTCAGAGGGAGAAAGGGGGTGATCGGCCATGTCAAGAGCCAAAGTCAGGACATCTGGGTGGCTCAGTGGTTGAGCATCTGCCCTTGGCTTGGGTCATGATCCTGGGGTCCTGGGATTGAGTCCCGCATCAGGCTCCCCGCAGGGAGCCTGCTTCTCCCTCTGCCTGTGTCTCTGCCTCTCTCTCTCTCTCTCTGTGTGACTATCATAAATAAATAAAAAATAAATAAAAATTTTTTTAAAAATGGTGAAAAACTTAACTTAAAAAAAGAAAAGAAAAAAAAAGTGCTAAAGTCAAGAAGCCCGCCTCATTATGGGCCCAGCTGGTGAAGCTTTTCTTTTCTTTCTTTCTTTCTTTTTTTTTTTTTTTTAAAGATTTTATTTATTCATAGAGACAGAGAGGCAGAGACACAGGCAGAGGGAGAAGCAGGCTCCATGCAGGGAGCCCCACGTGGGACTCGATCCCTGGGTCTCCAGGGTCACACACCAGGCTGCAGGTGGCGCTAAACCGCTGTGCCACCGGGGCTGCCCTGGTGAACCTTTTCTTTTCTTTTTTTTTTTTTTTTTTTTGGTGAACCTTTTCTATGAGAATATCTGTATTGCAACCCCACTTGGTGCCTTAAAAAAAAAAAAGCGGGGCACCTGGGTGGTTCAGTGGGTGAAGCATCTGCCTTTGGCTCAGGTCATGATCTCAGGGTCCTGAGATCCAGCCCCCGCAGTGGGCTCCCTGCTCAGTGGGGAGCCTGCTTCTCCCTCTCCTCCCTGCTGTGCTCTCTCTGGCTGGCTGGCTGACTCTCAAATAAATAAATAAGGGGCAGTCCAGGTGGCTCAGCGGTTTAGCGCCTCCTTCAGCCCAGGTTGTGTGATCCTGGGGTCCTGGGATCGAGTCCCACATCGGGCTCCCGGCATGTCTCTGCCTCTCGCTCTGTCTCTCATGCATAAATAAATAAATAAATAAATAAATAAATAAATAAAATCTTAAAGAAATAAAAGGGCGAGGGAAATAAGGAGCGGAAGAAGGGTGGAGGCTGAGCCATGTCTGATCCCCAGGAGAGGTGCTAATGGTAAGAAAGGAAAGAAGGCTGCTCTGTGGCAGTGTGGCCCTGGGCCCCAGAGACGCCAAGTGGAGTTGCTGTAGAGACTTCTATCCCTTCCAATGCCCCACCCAGAGATGCTGCTACACCTGGGACAAGTTCATCGTCATCCCCATGGATCCCCAGAAGTCCGAGGCTGAAGACTGCAGGACCTACACCCAGAAAATCCTAGGTAGGTCTTGGCCCTGCTGGTAGCTTCCTTCCCCTCTGATCCTTCTGCTCTCCTGGGGACACAGAGACCCATTCCTCTTTCCTTTCCATCCAGGAGCTCTGCCCTCCATGGAGAGACCTATGCTACCAGTGTCAACACTTAGCTGTGTCCCAGCTTCCTGCTGGGTGACCCTGGACAAGTGTCCTGCCCTCTCTGGGCCCAGTTTACCTGTCACCAGGTGAAGGGTACGCAGAAGAACTTCTTATCCAGCCAGAGGTGAGCTGGGGTGTTTGTGGTCTCTCCCCACAGCACCCAAAGTGACATGTCTGGAGAGGAGTGTCCTCTCTGCAAGTCAGTGGGGGACCCCCTCTGGTTCTCTGAGTCCATCCTCATTGCCCCCCAGGTCCCAGATCCTCATGTCTGTGATAGGAAGTCCCCTGGGTGTCCCACAAGAATGTCTGACTCCACATGTGTGCAGGAATGGGTGTGTGGGCCAAGAAAAGAGGCTCATCTGGTTATTGGAAGTCAAGGCCACGTGGAAACCACCCAATGGCCACCAGCCACCAGCAGTGCCACCTGCTGCCCCCTTCAAGGGTTCTCTCATGGGGGTATTTCAAGGCCAAGAGATACTCTGTCTCTAAACCTGGACACCAGGGTGTCTGGGTTTCTCTTCCTACGTGTTACAGAATAGAATGAAAATCCGTGTAAAGGGACACCTGTGGCTCAGTGGTTGAACATCTACCTTTGGCTCAGGTCCTGATCCCAGGATCCAGGACTGAGTCCTGCATCGCGCTGCCTGCATGGAGCCTGCTTCTCCCTCTGCCTATGTCTGTGCCTCTCTCTCTCTCTCTCTCTCTCTCTCTCTCTCTCATGAATAAATAAATAAATCTTTTTTTTTTTAAAAAAAAAGAGGGGATCGCTGGGTGGCTCAGTGGTTTAGCGCCTGCCTTTGGCCCAGAGCGTGATCCTGGAGTCCCGGGATCGAGTCCCGCGTCAGGCTCCCGGCATGGAGCCTGCTTCTCCCTCCTCCTGTGTCTCTGCTTCTCTATGTCTATCATGAATAAATAAATAAAATCTTTAAAAAAAAAAAGAAAAAGAAAATAAAATCCATACGAAGATTTGTGCAGTCTTGTGTGAAGATATCCCAGTGGAGGGGCATCTGGGTGGCTCAGTTGGTTAACCATATGCCTTTGGCTTGGGTCATGACCCCAGGGTCCTGGGATGGAGCCCTGCACCCTTGCTCCACGGGGAGCCTGCTTCTCCCTCTCCCTCTGCCTGCTGCTCCCACTTATGCTCTCTCTCTCTCTCCCTCTCTCTCTCTGTGAAATAAATAAATAAAATATTTTAAACAAACAAACAAACATCCTATGAAAATACCTATATCCATAGTCAAGAAATGATTTTTTTGGTCCCAGACAACACAGCAGAAAGTCACAAGAAGTCTCTGGAAGATCCGGGCCCCTCAGACCACCAGCAAAGTGGAGTAGGCTTGTTCTTTCTTTGAGAGGTCAGAACTACTCAGGGGGAGTCATCAGAGACTGTGGGAATGTATTAGTCTCCTCTGGCTGCTGTAACATATTACCATGAACTTGAGGACTTAATCCAGAATTTTTTTTCTCTCACAGTTGTGGAGGACAGTCCAAAATCAGCATCACTGGGCCAAGATCAAGGTGTCAGGTGGGCTGCAGTCCCTCCAAAAGCTCAAGAGGAGAGTCGGTTCTCTGTGGCTTCCAACTTCTGGTTGCTGCTGGCATTCCTGGGCTTCTGGCTGCCCCACCCCATCTCCAACTCCACCTTCACATGGCCTCTCCTCTGTGTGTGATGTCCCTCTGACCATCTCTTGTGAGCACAGTGATGGCAGTTAGGACTTGGTTGGACAATCCAGAAAAATCTCTGCATCTCAAGATCTTTAACTTCTTCACATCTGTAAAACTTTTATCACATGAGGTCACATTTACAGGTTTCCACGGATTAGGACCTGTGCTCTTTGGGGGGAGGGGAGCGCACCATTCAGCCCACTCCAATTTTACTATATGTGCTGCTGAAGCGAGCACCAGCCCACTCCAGATTCAGGGTAGAAGGGCCTGGAGGCTACAGGCTGACTGCGATTTGGCCAGGTATCCTGTGATTCTCAAGGATTCACTGACTCAGCAAATGCAGGAGTATTAGCGAGAGACAGAGGGAGGTGAGAGACAGAGGGAGGCGTAAAGGGTCCACACTAGAGAGGTCCTGGTGGGGAGAAACTGAGGCACCTCCCAACAGCCAACACCAATTTGCTGGCCTCCTGAGTAAGCCTCCTTGCAACTGGACTGTGCACGTGTTAAGTCTTTGGATGACTGCAGCCCCAGTCTGAACCTCATGAGAGATCCAGGGCCAGAACCACCCAGAAGTGCCCAGCTAAGCCTAACTTTCTGAGCCTCAGTAACATTGATTTTTGCTTTAAACTGTTAATGTTTGGGGCACCTGGGTGGTTCAGTTGGTTAAGCATCTGCCTTTGCCTCAGGTCATGATGCTGGGGTCCTGGGATTGAGCCCCACATCAGGTTCCTTGCTCCTTGGGGAGTCTGCTTCTCCCTCTCCCTCTGCCCTCCTCCCTGCTTGTGTGCTTACGCTCTTTCTCTCTCTGTCAAATAAATCAATCAAATCTTAAAAAAAAAAAAGCTGTTAAAGTTTGAGTCATCTGGGCAGTAACTAAGACATGGGGTGAGAGGAGAGGGCACAGGGCTGCAACAGGGCCCTCTGAGGGACTTCCTCTTTACCCCACACCTTATGTTTCTCAGTGATGCTGCATTTCTCTGTTTTTACATAACTGGAACTTGGTTTAGGAGAGCTGCGGAGAGCAGAGTGAGTGTTCATCTTCTACCACTTTCCCTGCTCGGTCGTGACTAGCCAGGCACTACGTTTCCATGTGACCATAGTGTGTCCCAAGTGAGATGCAGACACACGGTTGGCACAACATCTGGTGGCATGGCCCTAGGAGATGCTCACGCTCGTGCAGGACGTGGCAACTCTGGGCATGCTAAGGCCTGGAAGACAAACTCTAACCTGTGCTTAGATGTTCCTGTCCCCCAACTCCAAACTGGCAGATCCGCCACACGCGGCACCTCCCTTAGAACACCTTTTAAGATAATACATGACATTCAATGCAGATGGAAAGACTGATGTTGGCTCTCAGTCCCACCAACAATATTCCTGGCACCTTAGGATGCTAAGCGAAGCTCTGCGGTAGAGGTAATGGAGGGATTAAATGGGTCTGTGACAAAGAGCACTGACCACCCAGCTTGATACTAAGCACTCAATAGATTGACATCATTATTATTAATTTATTCCACAGAACCTAGATGTTCTACAGGAAACACGACACCTAAAACAAAAAACAAAAACTCTCCAAATCAATCTTGCAACATAAAGAGCAAAATATTTTTCCTATTTATTTGAGAGAGAGAGAGAGAGCAAGCATGAGAAGGGGCAGAAGCAAAGGGTGAAGCAGGACTCCCTGCTGAGCGGGAGCCCAATGTGGGGCTCGATCCCAGGACTCTGAGATGACAACCTGAAGCCCAAGGCAGACGTCCAACTGACTGAGTCACCCAGGTGCAAATTTTTTCAAGGAAGTCGAGCTGTTTCAGAAATGCATTTCAACAATCGGTGAGTAGATATACAAATTGTGGTGTGCCCATTCAGTGGGACATTACTCAAGGATAAAAATAAATGAGATACCAAGCACAAAAAGACATCTAATAACCTTGAATGCATATTGCTAAGTGAAAGCAGGCAGTCTGAAAAGGCTGCGTGTCATAGGATTCCAAGTATCAAGCGTTGCCAGAGGCTCAGGGAGTGGGGAGGGAGGAAGGAACAGGTGTAGCCCAGGGGTTTTTTGGGGCAGTGAAACCATTTTTTAAAAGATTTTATTTATTTATTCATGAGAGACATACAGAGAGAGGCAGAGGGAGAAGCAGGCTCCCTGTGGGGAGCCTGATGCAGGACTTGATCCCAGGACCCCGGGATCACACCCTGAGCCAAAGGCAGATGCTCAACAACTGAGCCACCCAGGAGCCCCCAGGGAAACCATTCTATGTGATACTGTACTGGTGGATATATGGAATTATACATTTGTCCAACCCCATAGAATGTATAACACCGAGTTGAAAACCCAATGAAAACTAAGGACTTGGGGCACCTGGGTGGCTCAGTGGTTGAGCATCTGTCTTTGGCTCAGGATGTGATCCTGGGGTCCTAAGATCAAGTCTCGCATCAGGCTCCCTGCAGGGAGCCTGCTTCTCCCTCTGTCTCTGTCTCTGCCTCTCTCTGCGTCTCTCACGAATAAATAAATAAAATCTTAAAAAAAAATAGAAAACTATGGACTTTAGTAATGTCAATATCGACTCATCAATTGTAACAAATACAGCTCACGAACACCAGATGTTAATTGCAGGGGCAGCTTTGTGTGTATGGGAGGTTGGGGAGAGATATATGGGAATTCTCTGTACTTTCTGCTCAGTTTTTCTGCAAACTTAACACTACTCAAAAAATATAAAATCTATTAACTTTTTAAGAATGTATAGCAAATAGAAGCAAAGGCACAAAAATAACTCAGGTAAATCTGAAAATAAGAACGAGACTGCTGGGTAGCTCAGAAGAGATCAAAATATATTTTCAAACTCGTCATTCAAAACAAGATGGTGTTGGGACATGACACACAAATGGATGGTGGGACAGGAATGAGAAAGAGGCACCAGTGTCAAGGGGACATAGCAGGTACTGCTGTCCAGTCTCAGGGGAGGTGGGAAAGGATGGGGCATCCCTCACACTTCAAGATGTGGGCCAACCATTCATTTGGAAACTGAGGAATGTAGATCCCAACCTTACATGCCTCAAAAATTAAAACATAACAAAAAGCTACTTAAAAAATAAAAAGATTTTTTTATGAGGGGGAGAGAGAGAGAGAGAGAGAGAGAGAACAAGCAGGGGGAGGAGCAGAGGGAGAGGGAGAAGCAGACTCCTCACTGAGCAGGGAGCCGGACTCAGGGCTTGATTCCAGGACCCTGGGATCATGACCTGAGCTGAAGGCAGATGTTTAACTGGCTGAGCCCCCCAAGGCACCCCAAAAACCTACTCTTGACAAATGACTCAAAAGAAAACTTGAATGAAAGTATGAGAAAATAGAGCTGTAGATAGATATCCTTGAAGTAAAAGAGTCCTTCTCAAATAAGGCCAGAAAGAAATGCAAATGCTTGAAAGGAAAAAGACTAATAGGTTTGGTTATTTTATAATTTTTTTTAGTTTATTTAAGTCAAGCCTACACCCAACACGAGGCTCAAACAACCCCATGATTGAGGATTACACGCTCTTTCCGACTCAGCCATACGAGCACCCCAGATTTGGTTATTTTAAAGCGAAAAGCTTCAGTTGAACAACATACCAGAAACAGATTTTTTTAATGTATTTTTTTTATTTACTTATGATAGTCACAGAGAGAGAGAGAGAGAGAGGCAGAGACACAGGCAGAGGGAGAAGCAGGCTCCATGCACTGGGAGCCCGACGTGGGATTCGATCCCGGGTCTCCAGGATCGCACCCCGGGCCAAAGACAGGCGCCAAACCGCTGCGCCACCCAGGGATCCCCGAGAAACAGATATTATAGGCACAATGAAAACAGGCATTTCCCAAAAGCAGCACAAATGTCCGATAAACGCCTACCAAGACACTCAACCTACAGGTAAGCAGGAAAATGTAAGTTAAAAGAATAATTACATTTCATGCGCATTTCTATGGTTTGAAAAATTTTCAAGCTGGAACATTCCAAGTGTTGACAGTTCCTCTGCTACTACTCCACAGAATTGTTGAGTGTTTTAGTATTAACTATAAATATTTTTTAATGCATTCGGTTCCTTCAGCTCTTGGTATCTCCCTAAGGAAAGACACTGGCCAGAGAAGCACATGCAGACCTCAGTGTCGCGAGAGGAGAGCAGTGGACAGCTCCTAAGGGATCTCAAGTATGGCCAGACCATTCCTAAAAGGGCTGCCAGAGTTTCCCCAAACTGGAGACAGGATTCCTTTTGAGGAGGGGACTTTGGTTTCTCTGAAATGGCTGAACTTTTTGAAGAGAGTGTGCAATTTAGAACAAAATTCAAATCAAGGCACAGAGGTGGGCCCTTTGAGCAAGGTGGGCACACTGGACGTGACGGAGTCATTGGTGACCACCCCCCACCCCCCGCCAGGTGCACAACCACCCTTACCTGGCGGGAGCACTTCTGGGGAGCCTGGCCTGGGCACTGCCATTCCAGGGCCAAGGGACACTCTAAGACCAAGGGTTCCAGGTCCCAGGCCACCCTTCCCTTTCCTCCTTCCTCTAGGAGGTCCCAAATGGACACCAAGAGCGTTCCCTGATGGAGGAGTCGAGAGAAAGAATGTTAGAGACGCAGCCTGAGCGTGAGCTCAGTGATGTCAGAGGTTTGTTAAAGACGAGCACGGTGTTTCCAGCTCTTGCCAATACACTTCAGGACAAATAACAAAAACCTGCCAGAGGGCGCCCAAATCTGAGGCGATCTGGGGACAGGGAAGGGCAGGGGCTCTCAGTATCTCCTCGTGCCTGGTCTGCGGCAGCCTCACCATCTCAGGACCTGCCAGGGTTTCCCTTCTAGAAGCACACAGCCAAGACTTCCAAGACTTGGAAGCTGTCAGCGACTCCCCAACATCCCCTCGCTTAGCAAATCCTCTCTGCTCCACGTCTGAAATATTAACATGCCCAGAATCCCGCTTCTCCCTACCTCTGCTGTCTCCCCCCGGTCCAGCCACCGTGACCCCCACACATAGACAATCACAGTCATCTCTTCCCAGCTTCCACCATTGCCCCCCACAGCCGGTCAGGGGGGATCCTAAGTCAACTCACGTCCCTCCTCTGCTCAGAGCCTCCCATGGCTCATGCCTCACCTAGAACACAAGCCAAGGGCCCAAGGCAGCCCCCTTTATGTAGATCCGCATAATTCATCCATATATACGGGCCTTTCTTTATGAGATAGAATAAAAAAGAAAGTAACAGAGTGCATGGCACGTGGTAAGGGCAATTAGCAGGTAGCAAAACTTCTGTTCTAACCACATATGTAATATATGATGTATGACGTCAGCATATGTTAGAGAATACACAGAACGAGTTGTGTATGTTTATCACACATATTAGGCACATAGGACACATCTGTATCTGTAGCTTTTCTTCATGAAAAGGAACACAGTAAGAAGTATCAGATTGCACTGTACATATTAACGGTATTTAGTGAAATTTTCATTCCAATGACACGCACACACACATATGCTATACAATGTTGTTACATATTACATAAAAATATTTTCATATTCTGTTATATACTGTCCCATAATGCATGGATTATGCCATATTTATAATACATTCATAAGTGTGAACAGTGAATTCTATAAATAGGTATATGGCATAAACTCTGCTTCTCACTATGGCTTGCCACCATGGGCTGAGATGGAGACTTTTTTTTAAAGACTTTATTTGAGAGAGAGAGAGAGAGAGGAGCAGAGGGAGAGGGACAAGCAGTCTCCACGCTGAGCGAGGAGGCCAACGCGGGGCTCAGATCTCACGACCCTGAGATCATGACCTGAGCCAAAATCAAGAGTCAGACGTTCAACCAACTGAGCCACCCAGGCGCCCCATAGACACTTGTGATGTGTGTGCA